ATCAACATGGTGCTTATGTACTTTGTAATTTTTCATCAGGTGTTAAGATAAATCAGTTAGATACGATAGACGCACGGGGTTACAATCGTTCAAATATTTCATCACGAGCAATTGAAGCCTATTTAATTCAGGTTTTATTCATTTTTCATTCTTATTTATGGTTTTTGAACATCCATTTCCTACTTAATATTATCATAATTGCAGATATTGAAAACGGGCTTCTTCCATGCCGATCCTCATCCTGGTAACCTTGCCATCGATGTCGATGAGGCCCTCATATACTACGACTTTGGTATGATGGGAGACATTAAGAGCTTTACCAGAGAGAGAATGTTGGAAGTTTTCTATGCCGTTTATGAGAAAGATGCCAAAAAGGTCCGTTTTATCTTATATCGATTTGAATCACATGACCTTCAGAAAATAGGTGAAAAAAAAAAGAAAAGTCTAAATTCGTTCACTCTAAACTTTCATTTCAACTTGGGCCACTCCCTCAACTTCTAAGACCCTTGAGCATTTACCGTTTTCATTTTTCCCTCGTGTGGCTCGACATTTTAGAAGTGAACTCTATAGCCAAGTACACTTTCTGTATATTTTGAGTGCTTAAACTACATTCTAATTTTATTTCCAGTTTGGATAGCAGTAATGTGCAAAGTGTTGATGCAGGTTATGCAAGGTCTCATTGATCTTGGAGCACTTCAGCCCACAGGGGACATGACATCGGTGTGCAACTTGATGAGCATTTCAAATTTTCTCTTTTTTTTTTTCCTTTTTTTTTTCCGCCAGCAGAGTATCGGAATGAAGAACTACTACAACCAGATACTAATATTTGGCCCTTTTCAACACATTGCTAATTTCAGGTGAGGAGATCAGTGCAGTTTTTCTTGGATAATTTGCTAAATCAAAGACCCGACCAGCAGCAGACTTTGTCTGCAATTGGTGAGGTACATTTTAACTTCTTCATCTTCAGCCATGATTTCTAATTAATTATATCAAATTTGGTCCGTAATTTAACTATTTAAACTAGTGTATATCCCCTGCGATGCACGGAGGAGCTTAAATTTTAAACTTTTTTTTACTTTATTTTAAATATAATTATTTATGTCTTTCACATCTCGTCTATTATGAAAATAAAATAAATACAAATAATGAAAAAATATATATTATTAAACACTTCTCTTTATACAATATTTTTTATTTAGGAATATTATTAGACCTTACGGTTTTGATGTTTTTTTTTTTAAATCAATTATCTAATATATGATTGTTAACGTACAAAAAATAATACAAAAATTCCAAACTTTAAAGTAAAGCTAATTTTATTATTTTACAAATAAAAGTCATCCATTCTTTTTTAATTTCAAAGAAATAAATTGGCAAGTTTGTTAATGAGTTAAATCAAGTTATACAAATGATTAAATAGATAAAATATTATATTAATTATATTTTAAGAAATCCGATTATATAAATGAAAGTTAAAAAATTTGTTCGTGGTCTTTTAATTTCCTTTAAATGTTTGAATTAAAAAATTTAATAAACAAATTTAGATTATGTCACATAAAGAAAAAATAAATAATAATATTTATGAATATGTTTAAAAATTTAATTTTGAATTTCAAATAGAGTAGAATATGGAATAATTCAAATTTGTTTTCAAAAAGCTTTTAAAGTGTTAATATTCTGGTAAGCATACCCGTAAGAATAATCTTACTATTTTAATTTAAAAACTTTTGGCAAGTTTGTTAATAAAATAAAGTCGGTGAGACAAAAAATTAATTAGTTAAAATATTATATTTTAAAAATTCCAGTTAGATAGTTAGGAATGTGATTATATGGAAATAAAAAAAAAATAAAATTTACCCAAAATAATTTGTTTAGGATCTTTTTCCTTAAATGTTTGAATTTAAAAACTTAATACCGGATTTCGATTATATCACATAAGAAAAAAATAAATAATAAACGTTTATTAATATATTAAAATACGTAATTTTGAATTTCATATAAAGTAAGAGGTATGATAAATTCAAATTTATTTTTAAAATAAAAGCTACGATAAACATTTATTGATTCTCTTTCAAACATTTTAATAAAATAAAAATCTAAACAAATTTTGGAAAAAAAAAATGGATTGATTGGCAAAAAAGGGAGTGAAATCGGATTTGATTGGTTAACAATATTTGCACTAATTTTGGTTGGAAAATGAACTAAAGTCGGGTTTGATTGGTCATTGCTTATTTGGTTGGATTTGAACTAATTTTGGTATACTTTCAGATTTTTTTTTTCTTATTTTTTCTTAATTGTATTATATAGTAATAGATTATCAAATTGTTTTTCAAAATAAAGTGGTATGATAAATTAAGTTGGTATGATAAATAAGGACACTATATTTGGAATAATCGTGTAACCCATTCAAACTGATATAGACTGTTTTTTCTCAAACATTTGTATTTCATTTATTGTACATGTAATACAAATTTTCTTAAATGTGAAATTCCAATATTTTTTAAAAAAAATACGTGACATTGATGTGATTTATTGTAATCAATTATTTATTGTAATCAATAAGTCATGTATAATATTTTTATTATTAGGAATTTAAATATTAGGAATTTCATCTATTTGAAATTTCTATTTAAAAAAAAAAAAACGCGTTGGTTAATCAAGGAAATGTGAGATTTGTTCAATTTATTGTCGTGAATGTAGTTTTTGTACAACACAACAAATAATATAAATAATTCATAAAATAAAAGTTTATTGGTAAGATAAAAAATTGAGATAAATATTGTTAAACAAATTTTGGTCATTTAACTTGTTGAGTGGTTTTTTTTTTTTAAAAAAAATGATTTTTAAAATTCATGATCTTAGATAACGATTGTTAAACAAATTTTGTTCAATTATGCCGTCGAGTGTTTTTTTTTTCAACAAATATAATCAAAATGCCTTCCACATCAAGTTTACAAACAATTAATCAAATTTATGAATTGAAATTTAGTTCATCACATGTGATATATACAAATATATTAAGTTGACTTTTTTTTCGTTTCTAAGGATTTGGCTCATTTCATACAAGGATGAATCAAAGGGATAATTACGAAAACTCCCCGAGATTTATTCGGATTACAACAGTATCCAAGGATTTTAAAAATTAAATCCCCATTTCCCATCTAGTTTTGATATGGTCTTAAATATTTGAATTTAAATATTCTTCAGAAATTTTTTAAAACTGATTAGGCGGGTTTTTTCGATTTTTTCAAAAAAAAAAAATTACTATGTTTAGTAATTATTTAGGCGGGATTTTGAATGATTATTTAGTTTCTATTTTTGAATTATTTAGCTTGCCCTTTTATATATTAATAGATGTCGAGCATGCCAGGTTTTAGCTATATTTTGTCGTTCTACTATCCAATTGTTGTGCCAGTATGCAAGATAAACAACATTACGAAACCGTACTTATCGTTTCTTTATCGTTTTTCTTTTTAATTTTCAGGATTTATTTGCAATAGCGACAGATCAGCCATTTCGTTTTCCTTCTACTTTCACATTCGTGCTTAGAGCATTTTCAACACTTGAAGGTGACCTCTCATTCTCTTTGTGAGAAATCAAAAAAATAATTTGGTAAAAATAAAATTCGTGTTTCGTGATTTATTGAAAATTTCATGTAATGTTTACTAAGATTTGGTCCCTTTGCAGGCATTGGCTATACTCTGGACCCAAAGTTTTCATTCCCTAAGATTGCTGCACCATATGCTCAGGTTCTATATCTATATTCTTTCTTCTAAAACGTAAAACTCATGAATATTTGTCCAACGAGACAATCTGAACCGTCAATTTATGTTGCAGGAACTCTTAGATTTAAGACAGCAACGGCCGAGTGGGACACAACTCGTTCAAACGTTAAGAAAACAAGCTGACGATGTACTTTTGCCCCCTTTTTTTTCACTTTGCATCGATTATAAAAGTTACATCTACTAATAAATATTATTATTGTTATTGTTATTGTTGTTTTTGTTCAGGCAAGATCATCAACTATATCCATGCCTTACCGGGTCCAGAGAATAGAAGACATCATGAAACAACTAGAGTCTGGAGATTTAAAGCTGCGTGTTCGAGTTCTTGAGGTGATTTTCTTTAAACAATTAGTTTCATTTCATCTACTTTCTACAACTACTCTATCTATGCCCAAATACAATGATGTATAGAGAGATTTGTCAGCATATTCAAATTTAGGAACAAATTATATACTGACTATGTCACTGAAAAATAAAAAAAAAAAAAAAAAAAAAAAATTGCATTTTTTGCAGTCGGAAAGAGCAGCTCGAAAAGCAACCATACTACAAATGGCAACCATTTATACGGTTTTTGGTGGTACCCTTCTAAATCTTGGCGTGACGTTTAGCAACCAAGGCAATCAAGTTATTGGGAATGGTTCTTTTGTTGCTGCAGGTTTGATTTGAGCTTCACAATATATATAATATACATTCATGCATATTGCTTGATGAGTGTTTTTGTCCTATTCTTATGATTTCATTTTTTGCATTTTCGACATTTTTGGTCTGTTTGAATATGCAGGGGTTTTCCTCACTCTATTTGCAAGATCCATGCAGAGGGTGAAAAACATTGATAAATTTGAGAAGATGATATGATATTAGTTTTCTTGTGTAAGTTGCCAACACTGTTTATTGTTTAATGTGTATAGCCATAGGTATTTTTCTCCCTTATTCCATTCATATTATTATACAGAATGGAATAAAGAAAAAAAGAGAAAGTTTGATAAGTGTGAGAAAGATGGAGTGTATATGTATGTGTCTTACCCTCTGTAATTATATTTAAATAAATCTGTGGAGGCTAGATATATAGATGGTTGTCTAGTAGTATATGTAGTAGAAATTTGAATATTCAATTCTTTAAAAGAAATGTATGGTACAAAAAGGTGTGTGATTAAAGTATCACTATTATTTGGGTACACAATGTGTCATTATGAAATTTTCATATTTGTTCTTTTCTTAATTATTACTCTAATAATTTATATTGGGTTGTTGAGTTAAATTTATTATGAAGAATATTGATGGCAATAGGAATTAAATAAAGCTTGCTAGGCCATTATTATTATATTCATAGAGTTGTTATGAAATTTTTAAGTCAATAAAAGGAGGCTCCCTATCCTCTTCATCTTTTTCCACGTTTTATTTATTGTTCTTTCTTGTATACTTTTTCTTCGACAGTAAAGTGCAGCTAAAATTTTTATTTGTAAGTGAATGAATATGAGGAAAAATCACATGATTGTCCTTTTATTTACTACTACCAAATAACATTTGATACACGTTTATAAAAGTGGGGACAAGGGGTGCAAACGAGCCGAGCCGAGCCGAGGGCCTTATCGAGCAGGATTGAATTTTTTTTTTTTCAGCTGCTCGAGCTCGACTCGATAAAAAAATACAAGAGCTCGAGTTCGGCTCGAGCTCGGCTCGAGTTCGGTTTGAATTTTTTCAAACAATTTTGTAAAATAACCATTAAATACATATATATACAAGGGTATTTTAGTAATTTCATTAATCTCGAGCCGCTTGCGAGCCGCTCGCCAATATAAAATATGGGCTTGATCTCGACTCGAGTTCGTGCTCGAGCCGTTCGTGCTCGAGCCGTTCGTGCTCGAGCCGAGCTTTGACTCGAGTGCTCGCGAGCTGCTCGACTCGTTTGCAGCCCTAGTGGGGACACTCATGTCACAAGTGTTTAGAATTATTATGTACTTTTTTCTTAAGTAAAAATATTTGAGTATTAAATGATAACTATCTACTTAAAAATGCATGATTATCTAATCATTAGACTTACAAGATCCAAAATAATTTTGTGTAAAATGAAAAAAAATATATCAACTTACTAATTTACTACTTGCTAATATATAAGTAACCTTGAAATGTAGATTCAAAAGGCAGAAATAGAAATAATAATCTTCCGTTGTAATTAAGTCTATTATATGATATAAATTAAAATATATATATTCAAAATTATTTGAATGCTTAATTGGAACTTGAAAATAAAATTTTATTATCTAGTATAAATTTCTTATTGTAACTGTAAAATCGTCAATTAAACCAATTTTTCAAGTCAAGAAAGCCAGCCGTCTGCTAACATAAATTCTATCGAAAGTTTACCCCTTCTTCTATATATACACACATTATTACACCCACACACACTATAACATATGATACTGTCTCTGCCTAATTCTCTCTATAACAGTCGTATATACATACATACATTCTTTAAGGTACAATTTCTTCTTCTTTTTCATGCTTTTTGCCATTGCTAAATAAATATATTTATCTTCTTCTTTTCTTGTTTTGTTTCTCATTTGAACAGATAATTCTATTGGTATAAAAGGTTGTTAAATACTCGCATCAACTTGCTTACATCGTGTATTCGTGTCTGCTTTTTTAGGCGATTCCTCTCTTCTATCGAGGTAGGTCTAATAATATATATATATATATATATGTTTCTGGGTTAGTGATCCTTTTTATGATGGAAAAAAGCTTTATTTGCGTTCCATAAATGGTGGAAATGGAAAGCGGAAATAAAAATGTACTACTATTCATTCACTCAATTTAGCTGCTAAAAAGGAGCTTTTTTGTGATTGATTGAGTAACCCTTTTGGATCTCTCTATGTTT